AAAAGCATGATGCTAAACTTGATTATTATGGGAAAAAATTGGCAACATGCTCTTCTGATCGATCTATAAAAATTTTTGAAATTGATGGAGACAGTCAACGAGAAATAGAAACATTAAAAGGGTATCTTGTATAATTTTAATAACCTTAATAATATTATTATTGTTTTAAAATATACTAATATTTAACCATGGCTATATATTTGTTTAGGCATGAAGGACCGGTTTGGCAAGTTGCTTGGGCACATCCAAAATTTGGTAATATCCTAGCATCATGTTCTTATGATAATAAAGTAATTATTTGGAAAGAACAAAATGGATCTTGGAATAAAATCCAAGAACATAAACATTCAGCATCTGGTATTTATTTATATATCTTTCTGCTTACGCATATATATATATACACATGAACATATTTTTGTAATTAAATGGAAAACAAAGAGGTTGAATAGGTTAATTTTTTTTTGTTTTAAAAAATATAGTAAATTCAGTTGCTTGGGCACCTCATGAGCTTGGTCCAATTTTAGCATGTGCATCGTCAGATGGAAAAGTTTCTGTTTTAACATTTAAAGGTAAATTAAAAATGGTTTAAATTAATAATTTTTATTGATTAATTTGGAAAGTATAGAAATGTGTGTATGTATATATATATATATATATATATATATAATGATTTATTTATTTAAATAGATGATGGAGCAGCTGATATACAAAAAATTGATGCACATTCGATTGGTGTTAATTCTGTAAGCTGGGCACCTGCTACAATGCCAGGTTCACTTGTACAAATTACCGGTGGGGCACAAAATGTTAATGTCACAAAAAAATTTGCTTCAGCAGGCTGCGATAACAATATAAAAATCTGGATTTATAGGTAATTAAAAAGAAATTGGACAAAAAATAAATTGGTAATAATGATTGGCAAATTATACATATACATGTGTTTATATTTATGCTTAGTGATAACGAATGGAAAGAAGAATGGAATTTGGACGGGCACACAGATTGGGTTCGTGATGTAGCTTGGGCTCCTAATGTAGGGCTTTCTAAAAGTTATTTAGCTAGTGGATCTCAAGTAAGAAAAAAAAAATAATTTAGTTATATACTTATATTCATATTCACATTCATATTTACATTTATATTTATATTTATTGTACCGATATACATATTAGGACAAAACTGTTTTGATCTGGACTCAAGAAACACCAAACTCTCCATGGACTAAAAAACAACTTAATGAGAAATTTTTGGATGCAGTTTGGAGTGTCAGTTGGTCACTTTCTGGTAACATATTAGCAGTTGCTACTGCTGACAACAAAATCACATTATGGAAAGAAAATTTAAAGGGTGAATGGGAAATGTTGACTGAAATGGCAGAATAACAATAAAATTATTTATTAAAAAAAAGTAATAAAATTAATGTAATTAAAAATACCAATTTCAGTAATGATTTTTTGCAATGGTTTGTTGTCTACAAAAAAGGATTTCGATGTTCTACGAATTTAATCGCGTGTAGTTGAAGCTGCAGAGCGCCCCAAAAAAATTTTTAACGAATATTGGTTTTATTCATAATAATAATGATAAAAAAGGAAAAACTCGATTTCTGACAGTGATGGTTTGTTTAACAGATTATGACTACACACTAACCTTCTTGTGCTTGGTTAAATGGCTTGGGAGGTCTTTAACTTTCTTACGATCATATGCGATCGTGATGTTTTATTAATTAATTGTTTCTTAACTATTTTATCTTATAATCTTACATGATCGTGATGTTTTATTAATTGTTAGTTATCTTTCTTAACTATTTAATCAACAATTGATTAGGTTAATAATATGGATTTTATCTATAAATTGAATATTAAGATTAAATATATTTTTTTAATTGTAAATCTTATATTATTACTATTATTTACTTGAGATAGATAGACGGATGAATTGTATTTAAAATAAATATTATAAAATATATATAAATTGATGACTTACCAGCTACGACTACCATTTTTCTTTCCAGGTTTTTCATCAAAGAAACGCACCAAAAACATGTCGCCATCTTTTTTATCATGTCTGACAGCTTCAGGAACTTGAAGACTGCCTGGGTGTACAATCTAATTAACAATAAATATATAAATAATTAATTACAAATAATAATTAAATATAATTTATTATTTTAGTAAAAAAGAAAGAAATATAAATAAATATATATTACCTCTGCAGGATACCAAGGAAAACCTTGCATCTTTGCCCAAACTAAACTCCCATAACTAATATCAGTAGATTCTAATACAGCAGTATTAAGTTTTTTGCGACTTAAAGGTGATGCAGTAGTTGATGATACTATAGTTGATATTGTAGCTGCAGGTGATACAATTGGCGATGTGTCAATAACATCACGATTTATTCTTTTACTATATCTAGTTGCTGGTGATACTGTTGGAGACATGTCAAGATTTGTTCTTCTTCCAAATCTAGTCGCTGGTGATACTGTTGGAGACGTATCAAGATTTGTTCTTCTGCCATATCTCGCTGTTGGTGATACTATTGGAGACATGTCAGTAACATAACGATTTGTTCTTCTGCCATATCTAGCTGTCGGTGATACCGTTGGTGATGTGTCAGTAACATTATGATTTGTTCTTCTGCCATATATAGGTGCTGGCGATATGTCAGCTATAATATCACGATTTGTTCTTCTGCCATATATAGGCGTTGGCGATGTGTCAGTCATAATATCACGATTTGTTCTTCTGCTATATGTAGATGTTGGTGATATTGTTGGTGATGTGTCAATTATAGGATCACGATTTGTTCTTCTGCTATATGTAGGTGTTGACAACAAAATCACATTATGGAAAGAAAATTTAAAGGGTGAATGGGAAATGTTGACTGAAATGGCAGAATAACAATAAAATTATTTATTAAAAAAAAGTAATAAAATTAATGTAATTAAAAATACCAATTTCAGTAATGATTTTTTGCAATGGTTTGTTGTCTACAAAAAAGGATTTCGATGTTCTACGAATTTAATCGCGTGTAGTTGAAGCTGCAGAGCGCCCCAAAAAAATTTTTAACGAATATTGGTTTTATTCATAATAATAATGATAAAAAAGGAAAAACTCGATTTCTGACAGTGATGGTTTGTTTAACAGATTATGACTACACACTAACCTTCTTGTGCTTGGTTAAATGGCTTGGGAGGTCTTTAACTTTCTTACGATCATATGCGATCGTGATGTTTTATTAATTAATTGTTTCTTAACTATTTTATCTTATAATCTTACATGATCGTGATGTTTTATTAATTGTTAGTTATCTTTCTTAACTATTTAATCAACAATTGATTAGGTTAATAATATGGATTTTATCTATAAATTGAATATTAAGATTAAATATATTTTTTTAATTGTAAATCTTATATTATTACTATTATTTACTTGAGATAGATAGACGGATGAATTGTATTTAAAATAAATATTATAAAATATATATAAATTGATGACTTACCAGCTACGACTACCATTTTTCTTTCCAGGTTTTTCATCAAAGAAACGCACCAAAAACATGTCGCCATCTTTTTTATCATGTCTGACAGCTTCAGGAACTTGAAGACTGCCTGGGTGTACAATCTAATTAACAATAAATATATAAATAATTAATTACAAATAATAATTAAATATAATTTATTATTTTAGTAAAAAAGAAAGAAATATAAATAAATATATATTACCTCTGCAGGATACCAAGGAAAACCTTGCATCTTTGCCCAAACTAAACTCCCATAACTAATATCAGTAGATTCTAATACAGCAGTATTAAGTTTTTTGCGACTTAAAGGTGATGCAGTAGTTGATGATACTATAGTTGATATTGTAGCTGCAGGTGATACAATTGGCGATGTGTCAATAACATCACGATTTATTCTTTTACTATATCTAGTTGCTGGTGATACTGTTGGAGACATGTCAAGATTTGTTCTTCTTCCAAATCTAGTCGCTGGTGATACTGTTGGAGACGTATCAAGATTTGTTCTTCTGCCATATCTCGCTGTTGGTGATACTATTGGAGACATGTCAGTAACATAACGATTTGTTCTTCTGCCATATCTAGCTGTCGGTGATACCGTTGGTGATGTGTCAGTAACATTATGATTTGTTCTTCTGCCATATATAGGTGCTGGCGATATGTCAGCTATAATATCACGATTTGTTCTTCTGCCATATATAGGCGTTGGCGATGTGTCAGTCATAATATCACGATTTGTTCTTCTGCTATATGTAGATGTTGGTGATATTGTTGGTGATGTGTCAATTATAGGATCACGATTTGTTCTTCTGCTATATGTAGGTGTTGATGCTACTGTTGGCGACGTGTCGACTATCATATCACGAATCGTTCTTTTGCCATGGATAATATCAGTCTCATTTTTTAAGGGTTCCACAGTATCAAGTTCTTCAATCCTTGTAGTTTTCCGAGATCTAGTCCGTGATGAAACAACATCATCATCTACCAATTCTTCTTGTTTTTGATCAACATCCATTAAAGTTTCATCAAGTTCCTCCTCTTTCTCCACTTTTTCCACTTCTTCCTCATCATCATCAGGCAACATGACCCAGCCTTTTGGTAATTTTCTAATTTTCCGTGGCTTATCACCAGTTTGTAAATTGCTTTTGCTTCCAGTATAATTATCTTGATCATCATCATGGTGGTGTTGTTCGACAACTGTTCTAGATCTAGTGACCCGAGTAGAAAGAAAAGAAAACTTTCGTTTAATTCGTCTTATTGCACCACTAGTTGTGTCTTTAATTATGCCCTCTGGCGTTTCTTCAACAATCTCTTCCTTTACTGTCGCCTCTTCCATCGCCTCTTCGTCAACAGCCAATGGTTCATTATTATAGGTAAATATTTCAGGATCAAGATCTAATTCCATAATCATTTTATCGGGGTCAATTCCCAGATCAAGATAATCTTGTTCTGCCTTATCTAAAATGGGCTTTGTTTGTTGATTTAATTTTTTAGCAACACGATAATAGATACTATCTGGTGTATTATATGTCATTGCATTTTTAAATGTCAACTC